CTTTTAGCCACAAGTCTGGCTCGATAGCAGACATTATTTTCACTATCACATTTTTTTTTAGAACCCACTTGCACTTAACTATATTGCCACTTGCAGTAATATCAACAACTTCCCACGCTTTGTTGTCTTCGAAGCTTATCAGCTCTTCTTGCACTGCCTGTTACCATTGCTCCTTCTCTGGTCCTCTTAGTGCTTCTTTTAATGTCATTTCATCACTAAAATATTCATTACACTGTTTTGTGCACATATATCCAAACCTTTCTGGTTTTTGTCTCACCCGTTGTGGTTTTGTGGTTTCTGGTTGCTGCTCTTCCTCAGATGTTATGGACTCCTCCTCTGGTACATAGGTTTCATCCATGTCATTCGTCGAAATGAATGAATCCTCTCCATCTTGTTCTGACACCTCTCCCACTGAAGATGTATGTGGACTATTTTCTGCTGGTTTGTCTTCTATAACTTCCATTTCAATCATATTTTCTTGATGAGATAACTTTTCATTTATGAACACAACATCTCGACTGTTATAATAGCCTTTGTTGAAGGATTGTATAACCTATACCCTTTGACATCCTCACGGTAACCAACCAGTATACACTGGGTATGTTCCGAAATACAACGCAGTGTACTGTCCAATGCAAATGACGTCATGAATCGACGCTATACTGGTGATTCGTTCCAAAACATTGGACAGTATATGACGTCATACTTTTGCGCCATTTGGAAAATTGTTGGCGATTATTTTACCATTTTGTGCTCCAAAAATCATTATATCCTCCTAATGGATATATATATATATATATATATATATATATATATATATATATATATATATTCTATAATTTTTTGTATTTGAATAAAAATAAACAAATTCTGGCATGCTTCATTCGCCAAACACACAATTAAAAATTGTTTTATTATGGTCGGATATCCGACACAATATGACGGCGGCACGCTAGTACAATAAAGTGTCAAATGATACGTCATTTGCATTGGACAGTACACTGCGTTGTAATTCGGAACATACCCAAATTGTTCTATTTTTAAAAACATTGGTAAATGACTAATTAATTACGTTTTTGACGTTTCATCTATCAATGCCATATCGATATATAGTACTGAATCAATCTAGTGAATCGATATTTCAGCCTAGAGAATCGAGATCGAAACTATCTGTTTTATTAAGATTTGTAAAATTATTTACAATTAGTTGAATATACCCTAACTTGTAATAAATGACAGTTTTTAATTCAATCATTCAATGTTATCTGTACTTATTGCGTCTTTTGATATTGTAAACATAAACTTTTAACGTAAATCAAAAAAAAGATCGATTTTTGTGAAATCGATCTTTACGATTTCGATTTTTTGTGAATCGATTCATCCAATTTCGATTTGAATCGATTTAAAATGTGTAAAATTATTCGCTAGGCCGGCCATTTTGTTGACAGTTTTTCGTCATGCCGTTGCTTCTTGCTTCAGAGTTTTATAATTTTGGTGAATAGTGGAATACTTGTGTCGGCGGAATACTGCTAAATATCGCAAAGATCCTTTCTTACAAAAAATGGTGACAGCCATAAATTATGTTTATAAATTAAAGTAGTTATAAATTTAATGTTATGGTGTTATATTGGGTGCAATAGCGAGCGAAGCAAACCTAGGACGTGGGGCACCCCGACTCGGACAGGTTAGGTTAGAAGGATTTTTAAAATTTTTAAAAAAAAACTAAACACGTCCGGCAGGAAGGGGAAGTAGGGGGTGACTCTACAACTCCTCCCCCTCCCCCCACCTCCTAATTCAGGCGACCGAATTGTAAACCTTACCCGTCTCATGACAGTACTACCAAAAATCCTTAAATGACTGAGGTTGGGTTTGCCTCCTGTCCACAACTCGTACAGTGGTTCAATCCACTTTTTACAATTCTATTTTGTAAATAGACTGCTGTGTTAATGGCTTCAGCCCAAAATTCCTTGCCTAGTCTTGCATCAAATAAAAGGCTTTCGCGATCAGAGTCCTATTCATACATTCACAAAGCCCGTTTTGCTCAGGAGTGTAGGGATTTGTTCTTTAATGAGTTATACCCATTTTCTTCAAATAATCTCTGTTAGAGATCTCTGTGCCATTATCACTTCTCAGTATTTTTATTTTATTTGACTGAATTCTCAACTCTTGCTTTATATTCTTTAAAATATTGTAAAGCCTCATTTTTACTTTTTAAAAAATAAACATATGTTATGCTGCTGTGATCATCAACAAAAATGAGAAAGTACCTTGATCCTCCCAGGGATGCATTCTTCATTGGGCCACATATATCACTGTGTACTATTTGCAATAGCTTAGTACTCCTGTTCCCTTTATTATCGAAGGGCAACCGACTTTTCTTTCCTTCACAGCACACTATACAGTTGGACTTGTTGATGTCAGCCTTCTCAGCTAATTTGACCCCCTCCACAGCATCCTGCATTTTATTCATGTTATAACTGTTGACATGTCCCAATCTACGATGCCAAACTTCTGGAGACTCTGCTGTTGCTGCCACCAAACAAGACGAAGTATTTGGTTTATAAACTCCATTTACAAGTGACGCAGTCGCTACTAGAGTGCCCTGTTTATTAAATATCTCGCATCCTTCGTTTGTAAAATACACCTTGTTACCCTGCCTTATCAGTTGGCTTACTGACAATAAGTTGGTAGATAATTTGGGCACATACAACAATTTTTCAACATTTATGTTAAAATTACATCCTTCAGTTGACGTTGTTATGTTTACGTTTCCACAACACAACACTGGGATTTTATTCTAGTTAGTAACCATGATTTCCTTGGTTAAACCTTGGTTAACATTCGTCGACTATCCAATCTTTACTGCTTGTCAAATGCGAACATGCGCCAGAGTCGACATACCAGTTACTCTTGTCAAATATTCTGCTAAAAAACACGGCACTGAATGCATTACTTGTTTGTGACGATTTATTTTCAGAATGCTTGCAAGATTTATCTTTATTAGCGCATTGATTACGGTAGTGGCCATGTTTTTTACAATTATAACATTTGACGTTTGTTTTTCTTTATCAGATGTCGACATTCGTTCTTTCCCAACATCTTTTATGAACATAGACTGTGTACTCTTAACATTCTTTAATTTTTCTTGCGGAAACAAGCAAACGCATTGTTGGCATCACTGTCTTCCGGTTCCATGTACCATCAATTTCCCTTTAATGGCGTCGGTTGTGATTACCATGCCGGAATGCTCGATTGCTATTATCATGGGTATATATTTTTCAGATAAGCCATCCAACATAATAGATCCGATCCACTCGTCGTTTATGCCAAATCCCGTACCTTGTAATTTCTGACCAACTTCAATAATTTGTGTTACATATGACGTCATCGAAGTGCAATTTTCTAATCGAATAGATATTAAATTCCTCAGAAGACTTATTTTTCTTGTAAATCCCGAGACATCGAATAACATCTTCAATTTATCCTACAATTCTTTCGATGTTGTTACATTCTTTATATGAACATACAGAGCCGGGTCAATTGTTAGAATCAACTTCGCTTTTGTTCTCGTATCGTCTGCAGCTGCTGGAGCAACGTTGGGCTCAGGTTTGATACACCCAACCATTTTCTCTAAGACAAGGAAATTTTCTGCTGCGAAACAACAATCACTGTAATTTTCGCGCCCTTGCAGTTTCGGCACACTAATGTGATAGTTCGAACTGGACGCCATTACTGATTCCTGACGACACAATAAATCTGCACAACTCAACAGTTTTTGTATGAGGAATGGATCCAGCACAAATTTGAAGGATTCTTAATGAAATGCATGTCGATTTGTTGCATATAATCCATAGATTACAATAGTGTTATTAGTTTTACTGCATCTAAACGGAGTCCTGAGAAGTTAACAATTAAAATATGAATCTATTAATAACCTAAAAACAAACTGAAAGCGATTTTCTAGTAGTTTTCACCGGTTTGTTATAAGTTAAAATAGAGCACTGTTGAATAATTATAGTACATATAAAACAACGTTGTAGGTATATTCAGCATTTATGGGTACTTTAAGATCGATCGAAAATCTTTTCACTAATTCTGGCAAAATATAGTGCCTGCCTGTGCATAAATGTCGTATGGATTCTATTTTTGACATATATCGATTGATTGTGAGTGTACATTCCAAATACCATTTCAAACAAACGATTAAAGCCAAGATGAGTAAGTGATAATATGTCCATTTATATTTATAATATCAACACACTGTAAGAAATATGTTTTAAACTGGTTGCTTTACAAAAAAATGATAATTTAATTCTATTTATTATTGTAAATCATAATTTCTAAAGTATTTTAATAGTAGTACAAAAATATAAACTTTTTGTTAAATATAAATTATAAATAAATTGAAATCCACTTTTTTAATTTACCACTGGTCCAGCAAGAAACTCAGGGGAACTTTTTTTTAAATAATAGCTTAAAATAATGTACGTTACAATTAACAACACAACAAATTAGAAATAGCTTGGTAGTGATCACTTTACCCGGAAGTATTATCATCCATAAATTCCTTATAATAATCCCTTTTATACAAACACAGTTTAATAAAGTTATTGCACTTTGATGATTGATTGAGATAGACAGGAGCAGTGTCAAGACTTTGTTTTAATATGTTTTTGGTTGATTACTAAGTACCTCCGAACATCCCATACGTCATAATAAAATGACTGGTTAATAACATGCTTATTTATTTATGTAACCTTTTCAGAAGTGAGAGGAAGCTTAAGCCCCGCTGTGGGACGTATACAGGCTGTAACTTTAATATTATAATAATAATATTTGAAAATGTGATTTTAATAATATGTTATTTGATTATGGAACCAATTAAAACACATCTCTAATTTATTTATTTTATTTTTTATTATTTTATATTACCAGTTTTAAATTATATAAATATTAAATTTTACAAAAAATTGTCTTTTCTAGAGGATTATGGACCTGTGTCAATAAGGCCCGTCACCTACGCGGCTAGATGCAGTGTCGGCTGGTATAACCGAGATCCTTGGCTTGAATCCATCTTCATCAGCCTCGTACTCTACTACCTGAAAAAAACAAAATACCTACATGTCATGAAAATATATTAATTTTACCACGTTTTCATCATGTCACTTTCTAGTTTTTCTGCCGTTCCGGGTTGAATCTTGCAATTCAAATTTCGAACACTTTCCGAGAGGCTAGGGACTTGAAATTTTGATTATAGCTCAGAATCAGACATTGTAGGTGAAAAACGTGGTATATTAATTTCATAGGACAAAGTTTAAAAAAAACATATACTTTTTGTACACTTTCGTTTGTTGACAAATTATAGCAACTAGCTACTGTAGTCTAAGGATAAAAAGTAAGAGATCAAAAATAGAAACAGAAACTTTTTTATTCAATATAGATTATAAATAATACTTATTGAAAGTCACTTTTTAATTTACCACTGATTCTGAAGAAAATCTCTGTCCCAGGAAGAACCAGTAAGAAACCCAGCGGGATTTTTTAAAAATAACATAATCATGTATGTTAAAATTAACAACACAATGAATTAGAAACAGCTTGGTAGCGATCACCCTGCCCAGGGGTTATTATCATCCATATCTGAAGCGTATAAGAGATGTAGAAAAATGTAGAAGAAACCCAGTATAATAACAGGCCATGAGGTATTCCATCTTAGTCCTCATTGAGGCCAATTCTTTATTTAGGTTGGTTACAGGTGAACAACTGATTGCTGCAACGTTCCATCAGGTGGACTGTAAGTTTGTAAGCCTACATACGTCGTCCGTAGTGGGAAGTATGTAGGCTGTAACAGAAATAAGAGAAGGCCTGTGCCTCCTCTCACTTCTGAGAGGGTTTAAGGGTAAAGTAATGTCCGCTGTACTGCCTCAATGCGTGTTAGAGAACTCTACATGTGTTTGAAGTAGATTTTTTTGTTTCTCTTTATGATGTTTTCCTTCAGCGTCGAGCACGTGGTAAATCAACACTTAAAATTGCTCGCGTATTGTGAAAATTTATGTACTGTATTTCAGTGTGTCTTATTATACATGCAGAAATAGATAGGTGAAATTTACTCGAGTTCCAAAGCCGTAGAGCTGATAAAAATGATTTCAACGTACCTGTTTGGTTCCATCAGGAAGTACGACAAAGTACGTCCCTTCTGCTTTATCGTCCTGCCGGTTTTCCGCGTGGCCAAAGTCACTTCCGCTCTCGTAGTCACTCACTTTGTAGGAGAACTCGTAGTTCGCTGGTTCCTGTGTATTTTGATTAGTAAGTTTGAGTAATAAGAACATGTAGTAGCGTGTAAGAATATCCAGTACCCCATATCGTCCCGTGAGTGTCGAAAAAAACCTATGGAGTGACCCCCCCCCCCGGGTATGTTCAGCAGTGGTCTTAGATAGTCTTTATTGTACGAATAATTAATGGCATTGATACATTTAGTAGTATTTATCAATACCCTTATGATGCGTGTTTGTGCAAAATGCAGCGCTAGGCGTTATTTGTGACGTTTTTAGGAGCTATCTACTTCTTATTAAAATGATATATCAACTAATAAAAAAACCTATTACATTTCTACACAATCTTGATTCCATAATAGCCAATTCCAGTTTTTTTAAAGGAGTAAATACTTGATGAATCTTCCTACAACTAAACCACAGAAATGCGAATTAATTATTAATAATAAAAAAATATTATATAAAAATTATTGATGACATACATCTCCCCATAAAGTAAACATTATTAGACGTCTCATAAGCGAAGCGTTGAGGTTGTGCTCTACTCTCACCTAATGGTGTTAAGTAAAGTCGCATTACGTAAGTAACATCGTGTATTTTATTAACTGCATAAAATATCATTAATCTAAACAAGGTTATAGATATTCATAATAATAACAATGTACATTTTAGCCACACAAATAACAAGGTATAACAATAACTATTATTACTTACAATTTATCTTCCGTGTACGTATTCTCTACTCAACAGTTTTAGTAAAGCTTGCTACATATTTTTTCAAAGACTGCCGCTTGTGGCTGCCGCTCAAACCGACGAGATCTGTCTTTTATAGGCTTGTAATTTAACAGTGCTAAACTACAGATGGCGTTGCTTGTGTGGTTTCCGTTACAAGTTTTTATAAAATTTGGATATTAAGCCGTTTTTACATTATAAAACATTATTTATATTTTTTATAATTATCTTAACATTATATATTCTAGTTATAAATATAAGCAAAAATAAATAACTAGACATAATCTAATACATTAATGTACCCGCAGACTTCATAGGATGAAAATAATTAATTACCCACCATGTTAGTTACAACAATATAAATTATTAAAATACGCTAACAATGGAAATCCAGTAATTTATTGAGCTAAAAATGTCTTCATTTTTTAACTACCGCACTTTAGGAATAATAAAATACACATATATAGAGAAAAATCACTCGTTTTCATGTTTCTATTATTTTTAAAAGTAGTTTTTTGTATTTAGTGTAAAAACAAACTGATTAAAACTGAAAAAAATTATCGAGGGTACCCGGAAGTCTGTATTAATCGTAGTCGTTAGAATTAATGTATCAAAATAATTCTTTTTTTATTAGGTTTAGAATCTCAACGCACATGTTCCTTTAAAATATCACTGAGTAATTTGTTCTCGTTTAATTGTAATTAATGAAAATGTAAAAACAACTGGTACTTTTCTACAAAAAAATATTCTCATGGATCTCTTTTTTCGTCTCAAATATAGAAAAAGACATATTTTTCTTTTATATAATCAAATGAGATTATACGGCGTGCACTTTTGGATTTTCCAAACTTTTTTATTTTACGATTGACAATAATGGATAGGCAATTTATTAATGAAAATTTTGATCTATATATTTTTTCAAAAGATAAATATTCGATTTTATAAAGAAAATATTTTAAAATTTGAGCGAATTTCTTACGCGATATATTATTGTAGAGAGAGCGCGTGGAATGTATAGAACCGAATGCTGCAGGTCGTTCGCTAGGAGTGGCGCCTTAATTGGCCTCCCCTTTAGATTGTCTTGTAGGCTTTTGCTATAGTTGGATGCTAAAAGAAAAACGCTGCTGCCTATATCCTGTTTCAGTTTCCCTCTATCCCCACTTACGACACCTACGGGATGGGATGAGGTAGCGGATTAACTTACGCCGCTGTTTTAACGCTTTGATATCCTTGTGCTTGCTTACTTGTAATATTTCGTTTACTTGACTTTGTAGTTTTTACCTGATTAAGCCATTTTAAAGAATTTCTTGCATAGCTCTCGTAGCTCTGATCAGAGTATCCGTCGAGATTTCTTGAAGCCCCGTTTTGCGGCGATGGCATGGCGGTACGAGATGATGGTGCGCCGTATTCCCGGGATGGTAATCTGTTAAACCCAAGATGAATGTTATCTCTTGTGTACTGGCCTGGTTTATTAAGAATTACTAGTGTGTCCAAAGTATGTACTGAAATGTTTTTTGGGGTATGGTGATAAACGAGCACATGGTCCACCTGATGGTAAGTGGTTGCTGTGGCCTATAGACATCTACATCTATCCTCCATTAAAAATCAAAATGCAGATGCGTTGTCATCCGTGAGGACTAAAATGGAATGCCTCGTTTCCAGTAAAAAGGGTCTCAGGTTCTACACTCACCATACGAAACACAGCAGCATTAATCTACCGGTAATCTGTAAGAGCGTGGTCCTTCTCCGGTCGAGCTGACACATTCGTGCTACAACTATACTACTAATATAACTGCAGCATGGCTCTACCACGTATAAAAATGATCAACAGAAGGTTTCTGCCATGCATATAGACTTACTGTACAATACGTTTTATTTTACTATGGTAAATTAGTGCTCGACTAACTACCCCGATGGTAGGTGATGATGTTAAATGGATGAAAAATGTTAAAGCGCAATGATTTTGCTTAAAAAACTCCTACATTGTAAACGAATGACTATTTTACTCATTTCTGTACGCATAACTAACGGCCAAGAAAATTATTTACATGATTCTTTATTATTAGATCTGGAGCCAGAGAATAAATTCAGAGTTGTGCTTTCGTCTAATACATTGAACTGTGATACTAGTCTATTTTTACGTGGTAGAGCCACGCTGCAGCTATGTTATAGTTGTAGCACGAATGGGTCGGCTCGACCGGGGAAGGACCATTCTCTCACTGAATACCAGCGTAAAATAGCAGCTTAATGCTGCTGTTTCATATGGTAACTATAGAGATCCGGAGACCCTTTTTTACTGGAAATTAGGAATTCCATTTTAGTCCTCAGGGGTGACAAGGCATCTTCTCTTTGATTCCTAATCGAGGATAAATGTAGATGTCTATGGGCCACAACATCCACTTACTATTAGGTGAACCCTGTGCTCGTTTGTCACCCATATTCTATACAAAAAGTGACTATATAGTCACAATACCAAATATGTAGCCCTTGAGCTACCATGGACGGAATATTTATAACTATGTATTACATACAATACATTATACATACCTAGCTGATGGATAAGATGATGCAAGGGTGCTTGATTTCAAAGCTGCTCCTGTTTCTGGCACATCATATTCCTGAGAGGAACTCATGTTGTACATTGAGACAATACACCTGATTCACCACAATATGCACCAGCATTTCTAGCTTCAGGTGCACTATACTGAGTCGCCGGAGAGTTAGCTGGTATTCCATAAATTTAGGAAGGACTGTTTCTTGATGATTTGGTGAGACTTTGTGTTCCAAATGAGAAATCTTCTAATGTCCTGTGCGCCTGCTGTGTATTAGATCTTGAAGAAGATAAATATTCCTGAGATACGGAGCCAGTGCCCGACTGTCTACCTCCTTCTCTATTGAAAAAAGTTTCAATAGTCTCACGTATCATCCTTGATAGGAATTGATGTTCCTTTTAGAGGAATTGTGGTCTATCAAATCTTTTTTTATATCTATCTGGTTGGGGCCGTCCAGGATATGATACCAAACTGCAAACTTCCATGAACTTTAATGCTTCACGTCAGCTCGCTTCAAGATGTAGCTAATCTTGTCTGTGACACCCCTGACAAATACTAGTACTGCACATGCTTGACTGTGGCCGGATTCACTCGGTCACTGTGACGTAAACGCGGGCCCGAAGCTTGTTGACGTGCAGAACCTGCTTGACGTGCTGAAGCTCGACGGCCAGATGTTTGCTGCCACAGATCCCTTGTGCTCTCTGTAACAAAGATTTGCTCACGGTAACTAACTGTGAAGGATGGTGGTGAGATTCGTTGTTTTCTATACACAGTTCGACCTATGGTGTTGTTAGAATTTTGGATGACTAACGCATCAAGGAAATCTAAGAAATTATTTGCCTCTAATTTACACATCAATACATCATTCAGGAACTGAGCAGGAAGCAAAATATTAGTCTGATGCCGTGCCCAACCCAAATACCATATTACTGTCATAACATGGGAACAGCATCCAACAGTTCGAGGTCGACAGTACTATTTAATTGCACTTCTACCAGAACCATTGCCACTAATTAAAATATATATAAAATACACTTTTGCGACTAATTGTGATGACTTGCAATTCTAGCCCTAAGTAAAAATGAGCTAGGGCTTAAGTTTATTCCTTCCATAACGCTGCTCCTCTTTTCTCTCTCTTCTGAAATTTTTAGAAATAGTTAATAGTACATTATGATACAGGGGACTTGAGTCGCCGATTATTGAATTGTGTGAAGTTAGCGAACGAGCGATGCGAATGCACTAACTTCACACGTTTTAGTAATCGGTTACTTAAGTTCCGTGCATGGAGTCAATAGTACATTATTTTATTGTACAAGTATCATAAATCCAATTCTTAATTGAAAATTTGTAGAATACTACTCGTAAATGATTATAAAGACAAAAATCATGTCAAAAAATAAATATATATATAAATATGTAAACACTCACGCCTGTCACCCAGAGGGGTAGGCAGAGACTACGGACTTCCATTTGGCACGATCCTGACATACCTCTTTCGCCTCCTTTACATCCATATATCTACGCATACATGCTCGTCGGTTAAGGGTACTTCTAACGTGGCTCATTTTCAAAATATCGCCAATTTGGTCGATAAACTTTTTCTAGGGCGTCCCTTCCCGACTCGGCCATTCACATCTGCCATATAAATTTGCTTTGTCACTCTTTCCTCATTCATTCTTTCTACATGACCAAACCACCGAAGCATTCCTTTCAAAAAATAAAATATAACGATATGTTAATATACTATGTGATATATGATACTTGTATCTAAACATAAAGACAAAAATGTACAAAAAAATGACTTTATAAATGAAGTGAAAAAAATGAAGATAATGCGTGGAAAAAATAACTTTTATTTTAGGGCTTTTAGCTTTTTTACCGCTTACCGCGTTTACCGTGTAGTGGCGGAGTGAGAATATCCACTGCCTCATATCACTCCGTGGCTGTCGTAAGAGGCGACAGAGGGAAACAAACTAGCAGATGGCCTACAACATCTTCCCAGTAACGATCAAAAATAAAATATGGCAAAAACTATGGCAAATATCCCCCCTATAAGGCAATGTATGGGGGAGGCCTGTGTTAAGCTGTGCACTTTAATAGACTGTAATGGTAACGTTAGTATTCTTGACTTCCTCTTTGGTTTAGTAGTTGTAGTAGTACGACTGCTGACCATGAGGTCTTGGGTTCGAATTCCGGGTCGGGCCAAAAAAAATTTATTATTGAGTTTTTGCGTCAAGAAATTCTCAGTAGTTGCCCAGAGTCAGGAAGTTGGCGGTGTCTCAGCCCCGTGCCTCGGAAAGCACGTAAAGCCGTTGGTCCTGCTCCTGATTTCTCTCCGGTCGTGTCGGTTTACCGTCCCATCGTATAATAAGAGTGAGAGGGAATAGAGAGTGTACTTACGTTGCACATACACTTGGGCACTATAATCCTGTCCTGCACCGATGGCTAGCCTCCGCTAAGGCAGGCTGCCGTGACCGATATTCGGTTTAAAGGACATTACTATTATACTGGACTTCAAATATAATGCTTTATGCAATCCAAAATTAATGAAAAATTTTACTTTTACTTAGTGTTATTTAATTTACTAACATCGTAAGAATGAATGATTCTTTTACCGTCTGAAAAAACAATAAGGTGAACAGGTGAACGGAATAGAAGCGAACGGCACTGATATCTTACATTTTAGTTACATTAACATATTATGAAATTGATCTATCAATAAATACTTACTACAACTTAGATGCGTATTATTTTAATTTGGATAGTTTTCAATTGATTTATTTATTAGGTTCAAATTTTGTTCTTATTTTTTAGTAGGTACCGAACGTTTATTTCAAAATAGCAGTATTTATTGATAGATCAATTGCATAAAAATATGTTATTGTAAAAGCAAAAAATAATGTAAAATATCAAAGCCATAGGCTTCTACTCCGTTCACCTGTAACACACTGCTTTTTCCAGACGGTAAAAAATTCATCTATTATAGAGTAATCAAACGCAACTTACGCAACCGGTGGTTCAGCCATGGCGAACGAGAACACATTTAATAAAAGGAATAACATCTGCAAAAAAAATGATTTTACATATTTTTATGACAGAAGAATCGTGGCAAACGAGCACACGGTCCACCTGATGGTAAGTGGATGTTGTGGCCCGTAGACATATGCAGATTCGTTGTCACCCCTGAGGATTTATATGAAATGCCTCGTATCCAGTAAAAAGGGTCTCTGGATCTCTACACTCACCATACGAAACGGGTATGGGAGGACTACGCTCTCATAGAATAAAAAATAGGTATTCTATGTGAGCGTAATCCTTCCCCCGGTCGAGCCGACCCATTCGTGCTACAACCATAGTATAGCTGCAGCGTGGCTCTACCACGTATGAGTTGACACTATGAAGTACAAACGTTTCAGCTTGACCGGGGAAATTTCACGTTCTCACAGAAAACCAGCGAAAAATAGTAGCTGTATGCTGCTTTCGTATGGTTAGTTACTAGTACTAAAGTCCATTTTACTGATTATGTAAATACCATCTTTATTCCTAAGGGTGGCAACGAATCTGTATATGGGCCACAGCATCTTGTGCACCACAGCATCCACTAACCATCAGGTAGACAGCGCACTTATTTGTCGCCCTCGCTTGTATAAAAAATGTATTTCTATGTTTGACAGTAATATTGTTGCACTATAGGATGTTCTGCTCAGCTTAATTGGTACGTTGATAACTTCCTATCGCATTTGATTATAGCGGAAAATGGGCAAAGAGAACATACAATAGCGACAATATGTACATCTTTATTCCAACTTATTAACGTCCTAAATCAATGCGGTTAAATTGATAATAATTAAATTATTATTAATTTTAAAAATAAAAAGAAATCTACCCACTTTTACACGTTAAAACCGAACTGTTCCAGAGGAAACAAACCTGTTGAATACTTTATCAGAAACATCTTGCACTATTTATATTGATCGTTTGACTGAAGGAAAGCTCGACCGCATCACAGGCTACGTTTCACAAATACATTGCACCGAATATTCGACTCTATATCATAAGAACATGTAAAGTCAGAGGAGGTGCAAACACACGTGTGTCAAAATTCGTCCTATTGTTGATAAAAACCTTCATAGCATGCTTGTGACGACACCGAAGATCAAACGTGGATCATTATCAGTAACGTTCATGACTGAATTAGATCAACTGATCCAGATTTATGATTTTAGAATATCCCGTTGAAGGCTTTATTCATAAATTAAATGAAGGTTTTAGTCAGTCTAGATGTTTGGAGATAATTAATATATTCTAATTTACTAATCAGTCTCGAAACTCCAAATTATGGTATTTTTATATCTGATGGTAAAGAAGCTATTGCAAGCCCTTGAACAACTATTACTAATTGATTGTGAAAAATAATTCATATTTTTACACAATATTTGAAAAATCCGTAGTTCTTAAGAGCTGAGGCAGCAATTAGAAATTTAATATAAATCAATATATAACATCCTTCGGACAGAATTTTGGTCACGATGCTCAGTTTCATTTCAACAGAGTCTAGCCATCTGTGCAGGACAGGGTTATAGTGCTCAAGTGTGTGCGCAAGCACACATGCACTCACTGTTTCCTGACTCACATGCCAATCCGACACGACCTGACAAAGAGAGAAATCAGGCACAATTTCGTTGACAGGAAAACTCTAACTAAAACTCGACGTAAGATAGTTCAGATTAAAATGCTTAACTTTATATTATTTTATTTTTAATGAGTTTGTAAGTAAAACCTATGAGTCATCACTTAACCAATACCAGTTTTGTCTTTTAAAAGTCCTTTTTAAGTTCGTAACATATTTCCCTTTAAGAAATTGCATAACCAAAATATAAAAGTAAATGTTGAATTGAAATCGAATAAAACTAAATTTCCGGATTTTATCGCGTTTATTTCACTGCTTTTATTTATTTTTTAATTCCCGACGTTTCGGGTGCTTTACAGCACCCATGGTCACGGGGGGGGGGGGGGGGGGGTACTGAGATGTTTGACGTCCCAATCTCATAGTTAGTCCGGCTACTTGTAATAGTTGTCTC